CCAAGCCATGCACGAAGACCAAGGGCTCGCCCCTGTTGTCATCAATGCTACCAGCTAGCACCAAAATCCAGCACGCTCGCTCTCGCTCTCGCTCTCGCTCTCGCTCTCGCTCTCGCTCTCGCTCTCGCTCCCTCCGCCCTCGCTCCCTCTCTCTCTCTCTCTGTCTCCCTCTCTCTCTTCTCTCTTTCTCCCCTCACTATATATATATATATAATATGTACACGCATATACACTGAGGATCCTACAGCTCGGGGATCCCCGAGGTTCTACATGAGGTCTCAAAGGGCAAATTTGGCCGATGTACTAGACACGACGTGCTGAAGCTCCTGCATGAAAGTATGGCAAGCAAATTTAAGAAGGGGTTTGACAGCTCTGATTTTAGGAAGAAGTTGTTGCATCCGGTTTCAGTGCTTTTAGTTTCGGGTTTAGGGCAGAGGGTTCAAGGGCTTCGGGCTTATGAAATATACAATCTATACAGGTTGTTGAGTCTGCGGCGCCCGTGCCCAGGGTTGGGCAAGGCTCCAGCACCTCCGCCCAAGATTTCTAATAATACTGTCGAAGGTCTTGTTCTTGACCCTAAACTGGTTGGGGGGAGGGTTTGGGGGTTGGGAGATTTCGCCGTGGCAGCACTGGAAAGATCAGCAGAGTATATTCTTAAAAGCCAGGGAAGTCCATGGATTCCCAAAAGCATCCAAGATCAGCCCAGAATTGGTCCAGTGAGTCAGGGACTCATGCCAAGATTCTGAACCAGGTGAATATGTGGGGTTTAGGGTGCCGATAGACCCTAGCATGTAGTACATATCTTTTGGATAACCTGGTTTATTCGATCCTAAAATAAGAACCTATGGCGAAAAGTGCTACATCTTAGGCTTCAGGTATTGTAGGGGCCTGAATAATTAGAACAGGGTTTTGGGGGCTCTTCATTATAATTATAGTAAAGTATGCCACCCCCAAACCCTATTCTAATTATTAAGGCCCCTAAACCCTACACCCTAAACCCTAAACCCCAAACCCCCTATAGTAGCTTGTTGTGGTAACCCGAGGGGATGTCGGAGTTGACCTGAGACCCGATCTCGGGATATTCTAACTGATTCTAACTTCTTTCTCTGGGCTTATGCCCCAGTATCTGGCGCTAAGGGTTTAGGGTTTAGGGGTTTAGGGGTTTAGGGGTTTAGGGGTTTAGGGGTTTAGGGGTTTAGGGTGGAATCACTCGAACACGAAGAGCGAGCTGAGTTGCTAGTCCTGGCCGTGCTGAGGCCTCACTCAAGAGGATCCCTGCAAACCTCAACTGCATACACTCACCCTTAACCCTAAAGCCTGGAGTTTAGGGTTTAAGGGTGTAGGGTTTAGGGTGGAGCCTTCCTGCAGGGTAAAGAACGCCTGAAAACAGTACTCCTGAAGGCCTGGATATCTTCGGGTGCTGGTTGGTCTCAATCCCCCTCCCAGGCCCCAAGGCACCAAAACCATTGTAGAAATCTCCAAATTTCAGTCCCGACTTGAGTTGCTACTTCAAGAAGAAGATCATCTCAGAGAAGGATCCAGCCGCCAAGCATCAGACCTTTGGCGAAAAAGCTGGGCGGGTTGAGGGGTTCAGGATTTCGCTAATGGCCTTCACACCTTGGGGTTTACGTATTTTCCACCAGGGTTTTCAGGTATCACAAGTTTTGCGCAAGGTTTGGTTTCGCTTCACACGGTTTTGTGGCGTTTACGGCAACTTGCGCTTTCTGAAAGTTTTTACCGGCGCTTCTTACGGTGTTGGACCAGTTTAGGACTTGGTTGGGCTTGCGTTTTGGGTGGTGTGAGGTCAAGGGGCTTATATGGGGGTTGGTTTAGGGTTTAGGGTTGAGACATGAGATGCTCCAGTTTACATGCTGTCCCAAATCCAGAACCTCGAAACAACATATCCTTCTTCTGGTGGCATTCAGTAGAAAGCTTTCGTGTTTTCAGGATCCATATCGGTGTCACTGGTTAGGGTCTGCAGCTTAGCGTATCAACCCCTATCATTCCCAGAGAACCCAATACCCCTTAATTAAGGAATATACCTTAAATCATGGTATTAAGGCCCCTATATTCCTTAAGTAAGGTGTATTGGGTTCTCTGGGTTCTAGTTCCCAGCGCCTGGTACAGGCACGCCGAAGCCCATGAAACCCGCGTAGAAAACAAGTCCTGCACACCACACCCAGTGGCTGTTACCTATAGTCTCCATTGCAGTTCCTTTTGTTGGTTTAGCCAATTATATATTAATACTATAAGGTATCCCCAAAAAGGAACTACAATGGAGACTATAGGTATTGTTCCAAGCCGGAAGCAGATACTGCCCAATTGCTGCCAACATTCCAAGCTTTGCACATGCATATCTTTGAGGTTGAGGGCTCTGCAAGTCGCGAACACCCGCAGAATCCAGAATCGCACCTGCCATGAGTCTTGTACATCCTAAACCCAGTCGTTGTGCGTCCCGAGGGCTGCCAAGATGTGCAAGACATACTACAAGGTGGACTGCAAGGAGGCCACCTGGGTGGTTTTGTAAACTGTTTTGCCGGGTTGCTTGTACGGCTTTATACGTGTTTATTTGCATGGGAGCAATACAGAGGTCTATGGCCCAGTCACAGCATTACATCCTCGAGCCACAAGCTAATGATTGAGGTCCCTCTGGTACAAGGGTACATAAGCCTTGCAAAAAATAAAGTATCCCTCAAGCTTGGTCCTGAAGGACGTTCTTTAAATTAAATTATTAACCTCCTGATTCGATTTGTCAATGAAGGTATGTGGACTTGAAAGCCGAAAAGCGGTGTTCGGTCTATGTAGGTTTCATGTTGAGTAGTCTTGGGGTGTGAGCTCTGGCTACAGGAATTTCGAAAGCCTTGGTGTTTCGATTATGATTATCATGACTATTTGCATCAGCTTACTTCAGGCACTGACTAGTGCTACGACATGCTACGATTATCATGGGTGCTTTTCATTTCCATTGTCTCTGTAGACTCTAGACCCGAAGCCCTGAACACTGTCAGCCTTTAACTTTAACCTTGCAAGGCCCGAAACATTCACGGGTCTCTGCTTCCCGAAGCTCGGAAAGGGGCTACTGCAGAGAAAGGAAATGCTGCCTCCTCTTGGTAGCAGTGCAGCCTCCTCTGGAGTGGCGCCAGAACCTGTAGTAGTGCCTGTGCGGTTCCGGTGCCTGCCAGCGCCCTGATGATTTAAGCAGTTGCAACCAGTTTAGGGTTTAGAGGTTACCTATAGTCTTCATTGTAGTTCCTTTTTGTGGATACCTCATAAATTCCTTAATCTATAATTGGTTAAACCTAAAAAAGGAACTACAATGGAGACTATAGGTAAGGCCCTAAAACCTAAACCCTAAACCTGTTTAGGGTTTAGGGGTATGGGACCAAACACCAATCGGACACCATACTATAGAAGCGGAGGATGGCCTAGAGCCTCCACGGCCCCTCAAAGAAAAGGCGCCTTGATATTTTAGAATAGGATCCCTGTAGGCGTTTCTATAAGCTTTTGCAAGGCATCGTTAGGGTCTATAGGGTTTAGGGTATAGAGGCCTCAATTAGCAGATGAGCGCTTTGCAAGGTTTTTGCTAAGTTTTGTATTGGAATTTGCATGGTCTTGCCGAGCTCAATATATAGGTGCCTTAGCAACTTAGCAATGTAGAGTTCTTAGGGGCATCTCAATACTCATAGGCCCCAAAGTAGTTCCTTTTGGGGGTTCATATTTCTAGTCCTATAAGGTAATCCCAAAAAGGAGCTACTATGGGGCCTATGGGTAGAATACAGTCATATACAGTCGAAAAGCGGCCATTTTGGAGCCTGTTGGTTCGAACCACTCGGCTCCTGCACCACCTTTCGGCAGAGATCAGGGTGTAGTATAGGGGCCTTAATGATTGCCTATACTTTTTTGGGGGGAGTTCCTTAATATAATTACAGGAAAATGTATCCCCCAAAACTCTATTCGAATTATTAAGGCCCTTATATTATGTGGCTCAGGATTTAGGGTCAAGTATCTTTGCGCTTTAGGGTGTGGGCCTTCGGCTTGGTTTTGGCCTAGGCCTTAGGGCAAGACGCTATACCTACAGTCTCCATTGGAGGTCTCAGGGGTTTAGGGTTTAGGGTTTAGGGTTCGGCTTGGTTTAGGATCCGGTTTAGGGTTTGGGTCTACGGAATTCATGTTTTTCTTTGCAACTGCCTCAAGAGATTGCCCTGCTTGTCACCTTACTTACCAAAAAGTGTGGGTCGCCAATATAGGGGCCAAAAACAATAGAATAGGGTTAAGGGGCCCATTCTACTATACTTATAATAGACCCCCCCCCCCCCCCGGTAATTATTCAGGCCCCTCTATGAAATGCTAGCTGCCACTTCCTTTTGGTGAGAATGGAAGCTCTCATTCCGCTAAAGCCTGAACCTTCAGCAGGTAAACAGAACGATCGCATCAGGGACCTTGGATCTGAGCTCTTGTTGCTCTACCCAGAGAACCCAATACCCCTTAATTAAGGAATATACCTTAAATCATAATATTAAGGCCCCTATAATTTAAGGTATATCCTTAATTAAGGTGTACTGCGTTCTCTGGGTAGTTAGTCTACATCGTTCCCTCAGCCCTAAACCCTTGACGTGAAGCCCAGCGGACTGCAGGAAAAGAAGCAAGAAGAAGAATGCTACGGAGAGCGTACGCTGGTGGCCAACGAAGGTCCAGGCGACTTGGCTTCAGAAGAGTGGTGACTCTCTGAATCCCATGTAATTTAGGGACCTTAATAGTTACCTACAGTATTTTGGGGGGGTTCCTTAGTATGATTGTAGTAATAATAGTATAATGGACCCCAAAACCGTATTCTAATTTTTAAGGACCCTACATAAGGGAAATTTAGGTGGACTGTGGGGTTTGCGTTGAGTTCAGCGTGATTTTGTCCTTGCACCCTGACCCTCAAGCCCGAATCCCAAGCCATTCCAGAGACTCACCTTCAAGGTCAAGGCGGTTGGGCCCAGCGATCTTGGTCTAGAGGTTAGAGGTGTTTTCTGTTTTTTGGCGTTTAGGGTTTAGGGGGAGGGGGCATGCTGAGTCTTGAGAAAGGTCCCGAAGTAGGTCCCGGGAAGGGTGCTGGTTTAGTCTAGCAGGGCTTTGGGTGGAGGACTTCCTGATGCTCAACATCCAGCTTGAGAGTATCGGGTTTAGGGAGTTTAGGGTCGTGGGGTTTGAGGGTTTCAGGGGTTCAAGGCTTTATGGCTTAAGGTGGTAGGGCTTGCAGATATGGGGCTCAAAATGCTCAGAGATACAGTCTCAGTAGAAACGTACACTCCCGATTTCACCCTATCTATGGTCCTTGCCACCATAAACTCCATGCCCTCGCGGAAGTTCTCGACGGACCGGAGATTCACTTGGAGATTTCGCGGAACCTCCGAGCTTCAGATACTAAACCCTCACCTCTCACCTCTAAGCAGCGAAAACCGAAACTTAGCTCTGAATCCTAACGTCTAAACTTACAAACCCTAAACCCTGGGTATTCATCATTTGCGAAAAGCCTGAGCCTTAAAAGCCTTAACCTCAAACCCGAGCCCTAAACCCCGAACTGAACTAAACCCTGAACCGCACCTCTGAGCCAAGGTGTGGGAGACCGAATCGGCGTCGACTCCATTGAAAGCTGTGAGGAGTTGGAGGGGATTTAGAGTTTAGGCTGTTTAGGTTTAGCTTCTTGAAGGAGGGCAGACAGCCCTATGTTCCCGAAGCTCTGAACCCTACAGCTCTTAGTTTATACAGTGCTGCTGTCGACTTGTACCTCTAAGCCTTGGCGGGTTTAGAGCTTGGGGTTGAGGTTGATACTTCGCGGGTTTAGGAGTCGAGGCCCTGGGAGGGTGTGGGAGGTCCTGGGTGGTAGCCCTCGCGGGTTCTGTGGTCTCTTCGGCTGGAGGTACAAGCGGTAGCAATAGAAACTCAGAGCCTGAGATCAGAAAAGGAGCGACTGAAAATCAAAACTAAAGAACTTAGCACCCCGGAGGTTCTTGTTTCGAGGGTTTCAGATGAAACCAGCATTTTTTGCAGAGGCCCTTGCCAGAACTTCCACCACCTCCCAACCTCAACCGGACATTGGACAACGGAACCATCCCCCAGAAAAACCCTAAACCCTAAACCCAAAAAAAAAAGAGAGCCTGGCCTCCGAAAAGGTAGGGCTTTGGGGCTTTATGGTTTAGGTTTCAGAGTTTAGGGTTTAGGGTTTAGCGTTTGTAGGTAAAGTCATGGCCCAAGACTTAGAAGAGGCCATTATTCTACATACTTGTGGGGCCCAGGTAAACTTCACCCTAAGCCCTGAACCCTACACCGTTTTGACATACTTTTACTCCTTTGTTGAGGCAGTCTGAAGTTGTGAATCCGGGCTGGGGTGGTTGCCGAGATGCTTATACCGTGAGCTAGAAGTTCTACAGTACATGTGTTTAAGGTTTAGGGGTTTAGGGTTTAGGGCTGCTTTTAGGGCGTAGAGTGCTGGTGCACGTGAGCGTGCGTGCATCCTGTATGTGCACAAACTACATGCACATATGCCGCACATAAGCTTCCATGCAAAAAGAGCCGTATGCGTGTATGTATGTATGTATG